ACACACATGTGCCTGGTGTGATTTTCAATCCGCCGATATGGGACTTGAACCACAGTTGGCCATGTGGGAGCCCAGCACCTTAACCACTACACCACCTGCTGACCTGCATTTATTTTAAGGAGAGAGAGACACTGGGACTTTGACAGAGTCTCACCCATTGCGGTGCTCCTACCCTAGCCTCAGGGTCAGCACTGTGCCTGGTCCCTTTAGGTTGGGCAGAACCGAGCCCGGACCTCCCACGTGGCTTTGCTCACTGCACCCTCCCAGCAGGCAGTGGAGGGCTGGGGCGTGGTCTCCAGCCCCCCTAGCTGGTAGTCTTGCTCAGGCCCCTCTCTGGCCTCCTGTCTGCCCAGGCCCCCCCAGTGAACCCACCCACCTGGCAGTGGAGGACGTCTCTGACACCACCGTCTCCCTCAAGTGGCGGCCCCCGGAGCGCGAGGGAGCAGGAGGCCTGCACGGCTACAGCGTGGAGTATTGCCGGGAGGGGGGTGAGTGCCCCACCCCACCCAGCACCTGTCCCCAGGGCGGGCCCAGGCAGCATCAAATGGGCGGGTGTCAGTGGTGTCCACGGTGACGCAGCTGTGCCTTGCCTCCCCGCCCTCGCCGCAGGCTCAGAGTGGGTGGCCGCAGTGCAGGGTCTGACGGAGCGCACGTCCATGCTGGTGAAGGACCTGCCCACGGGTGCCCGGCTGCTCTTCCGCGTGCGGGCGCACAACGTGGCCGGACCCGGGGCCCCTGTCTCCACCAAGGAGCCCGTGACGGTGCAGGAGATACTGTGTGAGTGCTCCTGGTGCAGTCACAGACCTGTCATCGACACCCAGGACCCTGGCATCCCTGCCCGGGGGAGGGGTCGCATGCCAGGCGGGGCTGGAGGGGTCGGAGCCTTCATTCACGCCGCGGCTCTGGTGCAGGTTTGGAGAGGTGTCTCAGGTTCTCCAGTCTGGAACACAGCTTGGTCTCCAAGCTCTGTCCTATGGACCCCTCAGTTCCAGTGGTGGCCGTCGTCCCTGTCCTAAGGACTGAGCAGTGAGGCCAGCTGGGGTCAGATCGGTCCGGCCGAGAGCTGCCCCATCCCTCTGTCCTTCACCCTAACAAAGGGTTAATCCCAAGGCATTGGTTCTCAGGAGTCGGAAAGAGGCAGCGAACTGGGGTGGGCGCAGCCCTGGCAACGGGTCTGGGAGACTCGGGGTGCACTCTGGCCCCATGTCCTGTGTGGCCTCAAGTCTCTGCTCACCCTCTCTGATTCCTGCGTCCTGAGGGGGGTGGCAAGGCTGGCCAGGCAGCCTTTCCCTGAGTGGCAGCTCCTGGCCACGCCCCAGGAGAGAGCCCTGGCGTGCCTCAGCGCCATGGCGGGTCCTTGCTGAGCGCCCTCCCTGTGCCCACAGTGCGACCACGGCTCCAGCTGCCCAGGCACCTGCGGCAGACCATCCAGAGGAAGGTCGGGGAGCCCGTGAACCTCCTCATTCCTTTCCAGGTAGGGCCGCCCTTGCCCGGGCCTCAAGGGCGGAGGCGACAGTGTGCTGTCCGCATCCAGCAGGTGACCACGTCTCGGGGCTGACCACGTCCCGAGGCCTCACCCACACGCTCCAAGCTGGGGTGCTGGCCAGCCCTCAGGGAGAGCCTGGCTCAGGTTGAGGTGTCCCTGCCCTCAGGGCAAGCCCCGGCCTCAGGTGACCTGGACCAAAGAGGGGCAGCCGTTGGCAGGCGAGGAGGTCAGCGTCCGCAACAGTCCCAGCGACACCATCCTGTTCATCCGGGCTGCTCGCCGTGCCCACTCGGGTGCCTATCAGGTGGCCGTGCGCATCGAGAACATGGAGGACAAGGCCACGCTGGTCCTGCAGGTGGTGGGTGCGTGGCCCTGGGGCCTCCTGCTGGGGCCTGGGGACAGCCTGGGGCCCTGACCCAGAGTGTCTGCGGAAAGCAGGTCAGGGCTGGTGGCAGAGGGCAGGGGCCCCTGTAGCCCGGAGTCCCTGCCCTCACTGAGGCGGCATCAGGTGTGCGACCCGGCCGGGTCTGTCTCTTGCAGATAAGCCAAGTCCCCCCCAGGACATTCGGGTCACCGAGGCATGGGGTTTCAATGTGGCTCTGGAGTGGAAGCCACCCCAGGACGACGGCAACACGGAGCTCTGGGGTTACACAGTGCAGAAAGCCGACAAGAAGACCATGGTGAGCTGGGCCCCCGCCACACCCCCGCCATGGGCCACCTCGATTTCCCGTGGTACCCTGGGCGGCCCCCACAGGCCCACGCCTGGCCTCGCTCCCCCAGGAGTGGTTCACCGTGCTGGAGCACTACCGCCGCACCCACTGCGTGGTGTCCGAGCTCATCATCGGCAATGGCTACTACTTCCGGGTCTTCAGCCACAACATGGTGGGGCCCAGCGACAGAGCCGCCACCACCAAAGAGCCTGTCTTCATCCCCAGACCAGGTGCAGTTCCCTAACGCCAACCGCTGGGGAGCGGGGGCCCCTTGGTGTGGCCCTCTGGGAACTGAGTCCTGTCACCCACAGGCATCACATACGAGCTGCCCAGCTTCAAGGCCCTGGACTTCTCGGAGGCGCCAAGCTTCACGCAGCCGCTGGTGAAGCGCTTTTTTTTTGCCACACCAGCCTCTGTTGCGCCGTCCGGGGCAGCCCCAAGGTGGGTGCCAACTGGAAGGCAGCCCTCGGCCTCCTCTCCGCCTCGGGGTTCCTGGGCTGGGTTCTCCCCTGAGCAGGGCCTGGGATCCCTGCTAGCCCCGTGTCCACTCCCGGCCTGGGATGTAGTGTGGGCTCCGGCTGGTCTCCAGAGCAGGTAGGTCACAGCTGGTCCCCAAAGGGCTCCTGCAGGTTTCCCCCTCAGGTGGTCTCTCCCCCTCCTTGCCCTTGACGTAGCCCAAGATCTCCTGGTTCAAGAACGGCCTGGACCTGAGGGAGGACGCCCGCTTCCGCACGTTCAGCAAGCAGGGCGTGCTGACCCTGGAGATCAGGAAGCCCTGCCCCTTCGACGGCGGCGTGTACGTCTGCAGGGCCACCAACCTACAGGGCGAGGCACAGTGTGAGTGCCGCCTGGAGGTGCGAGGTGAGGAGCCCGCTGGGCCAGGGCCTGGGAGAAGTGGGCAGCACAGGAGACCAGGGCAGGGGGCTGTGGTCCTGGCCCCGCCCTGGCTGCAGGAGCCCCGGCTCTGCCACGTCCATGCAGCCTGGGCTCCAGAGGGCTGGGAGGGCGCGTGTGGCAGCGTCCTTTCTCCTTCCCGGCAGTACCGCAGTGACCAGGCCGGCTCCCCACTCTGGCCAGGTACGTACTGCAGCCCCCCAGCCACGCAGGGCCCAAGGCAGAGGCCAACCCCTGGCCTCTGGTCCAGGGGCGGCCGTGACAACGTGGGGCGCCCAGGTGGCCTCAGTTCACCCGTGTCACAGGTACAAGCAGATGCCAGTCCTGTGTGCCAGGAGCCGGAGGACGCCGGAAAAGCCACCTCTGCAGGATGTGTGCACGCACCCGGGTGGATCTGGGCTGGGGCGGGGGCAGCCTGGTGGGCTTCTGGGAGAAGTGCCTGGATTTTCAGGACAAAAGTGGGTGGACTCAGATGGTGGCTGGGGACAGGCCCGGTGACCTGCCATGTCTTCTCAATACATGCAATAAAGACCAGGGCAACTGCAGAGTCAGCTCTTGTCCAACGCGCTCGTTGTCACCCTAAGGCCCGGGGACACCGCCTTCATCCTTGCAGTGAGCCGAGGGCGGGCAGGCATTCTGTCTTCTGGACGATGAGATGAGGCCCCAAGGGGAACCCTACATTTTTTTTATTTTTGGAGAGGCTTTTGCTATAGGGCGAGTGCGCTCCCCCAAAAGACAGTGAGAGACAGAGAGAAAGCAAGAAATCACCCCCCAGGGGGGATGGCCACACCGCAATCCCTTCTCCTCCATTCTCCTCTCGGGATCTTGGGCACGCATGCACACGTGCCCGGCGTGAGTTTAAGTCACCGGGTTCAGGAGTCAAACCACGGGCGACGACATGGGAGTCCAGCGATATAGCCATTACACTAACTGCTGGTCCCGGGGAACCCTAAATTCACAAGACACTAGAAGGAACCCGTGTTCCCCTGCACTCCCCCTTCAAAGGCGGAAACTGGGGGAGGGGGCTGCGATGGGGACGGTGCTAGCGAGAACCTGAGCCCGAGGTGCTCCTGCCTGGGCTTGTCCTCAGGGGACCCATGGTCACAGCAGCCGGGCAAAGGGTGTGGACCCACCAGTCATGTCCACACCTGCAGTGGGACTGCACTGGCTCCAGTGAGTCCGCAGCCCCTCCACTCCTGGCTCTCGTGTGGGCAGGCCCGACTGTCCGGCTAGAAACAACAGGAGCCAGGAAGGGGTGAGGCCAGGCTCTGCTCTGGCTTCCCTGCAGGGGCCCACCTGCCATCTGTGAGGAAAAGGCCAGCGGGTCTCAGAGGTGCCCTTGCAGGGTGGCGGGTGCTTCTCGCCTGTGGAGCTCCAGGGCCTTCCCACTGCAGAGACCTTCTGGGAGTGCTGGTCTAGGGGTGCCTCTTAGAGTCCTACCCAGTGTAAGAA